TGGGCTTTGGTTTAGGGTTCCGGGTTTAGGCCAACAAGGCTTTAGGGGTTTGGGGCTTTCGGGGTTTAGGGTTGAGGGTTTTGGGGGTTAACGGTTTTTGGTTCAGAGATTACAGAGCTTTCGTTCCAGGGCTAGAGGGGTTCACTCTCAAGTTCCAGCGGTAACGGCACCATTAACTACTACAAGTAGCAGGGTTGCGAGTAAGAGAAGGTGCAGCACAAGCAGAGTCGGGGTAGGAGTAGTAGTAGTAGTAGTAGTAGCAGTAGCAGGAGCAGGAGTAGTAGTAGTAGTAGTAGTAGTAGTAGTAGTAGTAGTAGTAGTAGTAGTAGTAGTAGTAGTAAGCAGGCGAAGGTGGCGCCAAGACTAAACATCTTGACGTGGAACGCTAGCGGGTTATCCAGCGAGCTTCTTCTTGAGATATTCGTCTGGCTTAGGACGCAGCAAAATGTGCAACTTTTTGCCATACAGGAGACGCATTGGTCAGGAACACGAGAGTGGCAACAAGAAGGCTGGAGCCTCTTTCATAGCGCTTCTGGTAAAGGCAGACAGGCCGGGCTGCTACTGGGGATACGCGCAGAAGTTGCTCAGAATGCTGATATCTCCTGGACGGAGGTGATTCCCGGCAGGCTGATGCACTGGAGAGGCTACGTAGGGAAACAGCAGCTCGACGTCCTGAACCTGTACCAACACGCACTATCTTTCAAAAATGAGGAGCAGAGGCAGTCTGTTATGAAGAGCAGGCAGACGGTGTGGAAAGCAGTGGACAAATCTCTGGCAGCATTGCCGTTCAGATCGTCGGTGGTTCTACTGGGTGACTTCAACGCGTCGCTATCACCTTCCTGGGGAACGGTTGGGCCGGGAGTGTACCTTGGATCCAGTCATGCGCACCTCGCATCGGAACGTCAGCAAGTTGTGGATTTGCTTTCTCAACATAGGCTCTGCGCTCTTAACACCTGGGGGCGTAAGCAATTCACTTATAAGCACCCAAACGGTTGTTCTCAGATCGATTTTATTTGTGTGAGACGTCAGTTAGCAGACGGAGTTGCTAAACGAAGCGGGGTCATCAAGGCCCCAATCGCAGGCTGGAGATCGGCAGGTCATGATGTGGTTCAATGTAGCATACCGCTTAGATGGACGCCTTGGTACAGTCATAACAAGGTTGTTCCCAGTAAGTATGCGGGCCCCTCTCTTAGTGCACTTCTCCTGCAGCAGCACCCTCCACTTGCTGACATACAGGGCGCCGTCAAAGCCGAGAGCCCACGCAAGCATCTCCTACCCCAGAAGCCGGCACTTCGTTCAGTTGATTCCGAAGTCACTCAGCTGTGGAAGGAACCCCGCAAGGAACGACCTCCGAGAACTCAAATGCTGCAGGCCTTCAGGGCCTCTCGTGCATTAATTGAGCAAAAACAACGACATCGTGAACTGCGGAAACTGGCTAGAGAACGGAAGCGGCAGCAAATCCTGGACATTCTTCAGCAGGCGGAGCAAGCAGCCTCACAACATGACACTCGCACCCAATACAGGTTCATTCGTATGCTGGCTCCAAAGTCTTTCCGCAGACGCATTTGCCTGCGATCGGAGAATGGCGGGCTGATGAGTCCGTCGGAGGAGGCCGATGAACTGCTTCGGTACGCAGTGCAACTTTTCAAGGGTGCCGCGTGGGATCCTCCCCCTCTCTTGCCCCTTAATCCGGATTGGTTTAGGGCCGAGGCTTGGCTGCGTGCTTTTAAGCAATTGGCTAACCATAAGGCGGTTCCGGACAATGCGGGGTCGGTAGAGGGTTGGAAAGCGGTTGCTTCACAAGTCGCGCCAGCACTGGAGAAGATTGCCGTCCAAACGGTGGCGAGCGAAGTTCCCTCTCTGCCACAGGACTGGGCGAGAACACAGCTTGCGTGGTTGCCGAAGCCGGGACAGGCCACCTCTTCCCCATCGGGTTTACGCACCATAGGTTTGCTAGGACCTGACTCTAAAGCCTTCCTCTACATACTGAAAGAACATGCGAACCCCTACGTGCAGCATGCATTGGCCCTAGTCCCTCAGTTCGCGTATCGCGTGCATACCTCCACCACTGATGCTTTGCTACGAGCCAGCGGTCACTGCGCGCGGGTTCGAGACACACTCGCCAACCAGGTTGATGACGTCACGGCCAGAGTGCTGCAGACGGCGCCGTCGGACCTCATTGGAGGCCTGATGGCCAGCATAGACCTTTCCAAAGCCTTCGACAAGCTGACCCATGAAGAGATACTGTTGTCCCTCAGAGAAACCCACATGCCTGAAGAGCTTGCGCGGATGATCCTTCATGTACACATGACCACTGACGTCACCATCAAGCATAAAGGGCAAACTCGCAACTTCACCATGGGACAAGGACTGCGCCAGGGCTGCCCGATTGCCCCAATGGTGTATGCGGCTTGGACTGTGAGACTTTGTAAGAAGCTTGATCAGGCAATCAAGGATAACTGGGCTCAGGATCACTTGACGGTATATGCGGACGACAAACATGCATTCTGGGAAGTGTTTTCTGAGAGGGAGTTCAACATCGCTTTACGGCAGCTGGGGAAACTCATTGAGGTTATTCAGGGATGTGGCATGACCGTGAATTTCAGCAAATCCTCGGTGATCATGGCTATGAAAGGCAAACAGTGGCAACGCATTCAGCATCAAAAGGTCAAACAATGGAATGGTCAACGCTGTATTGTGGTACCTTTGTCTACCGGTCGTATCTACATGCCTGTTGTTGACAGCATGATCTACCTGGGGGCCAAACTTAGCTATGGCCGATTCGAGGCGCAAACAGCCCAGTTCAGGACGCAGCAGGCCAAGGCCACCTTTTCGCAACTCAGCAAAGTCCTACGAGTGAATGGTCCGCTTGGCACAGGTCGCAGACTACAACTTTATCGCACATGTGTCATTCCTACGCTGCTGTACGGGCTCACGGGCATTGGCGTCACGCAGGCCACCGTAAAGGTCATCACATCCACAGTTGCCATGCAGCTCCGCAAAGTATGCAGGATCCATGAACATGGAATCTCGAACCGAGAAGTTCTACGCAGGGCCGGCATCGACCTCAGCGCGACCCTCTTGCAGCGATTACAAAACCAGCTAAACACCATTGTCTCTGACCACGGCCGCTCACATGCATTGCTTCATCAGGCGGAGGCGCGCACTACGCTGCTACTTCGAGACCTTCAACATCTACAGGACCTTCCCACGGCGTCTGCCAATTCACTGATCCCAATTACTTCGGCGGAGCATGTTGCCTGTCCTGAATGTGGGCTGTACTTCCCGTCCGAGTCAGGAATGCATCAGCACTTTCATCGGCGACACCCTCAAGCGATGCAGGAGGCTAAGATTGCTTTTAACAGGGCCAAACACAGCCTCTTTGGTGTCCCCATGTGTCGGTATTGTCACCAACGATGCACCACGTGGGCCTCCCTGACCAAGCATCTGACCCAGGGCAATTGCATTGTCGTCAAGACGGCCATCCTCTCAGGACTCACGCTGGAGCAGCTGCATCAGCGCACGCTTGCAGACGAACTCGTGCGTCCACCTGTGCCCCCTTCGGATGCACTCATACAGGAGAGACCTTACTACGAGACGGTGGAGATCTCAGATATGGCCACAAACTCAGCGCTGACAGAGCACTCCAGTGACATTCGGAATCTGAAGCAGAAGTGTGCCTTATGTGGTCAAATCATGCTATCCAACCAGAAAATTAAGCGACACTGGCAACAAAGCCACGGAGTCGCTTGGAAAAAATGCCGGCATCAGGTCATCACAGAAGCCGGAAGTCTCTCTGCGATCTTCCGTCGGCCATGCCAATTCTGTGGAAGCACGGCGAAGGACTGCAAGGCACACTCTCGACAGTGCCCGGCCATGTTCCAGCACCTGGCAGTTCGCATGCTCAAAACCGCAGGCCACGACTTGGATCAGCTCTCAGAGGACAAGCCGACACAGTTCAAGAAGACGGAGGCCGCACCCAAGTATAAGTCCTTTGTCTCTCCCATTGCGGTGTCTTTCAGCCAAACAGCAGGATTGGAAAGGGACCTCAAGTCTAAGAGCAGCTTGCAGGTTGAGCGCAAATTGCACCCGGAGCTCCAGGAGGTACGGTCCGCGAAAGCCGCAGTGATCCAGGTTACAGCCCAGCAGACCTTGAGCGGCAAAATCACAGACTTCTTTGGTCGGAGGTCGGCAGCCGGGGCAAGCACACCGGATGTTGCCGAGGATCATTGGCTACACAGGCTCCGCCTCAAAAATCCACACAACTTGTGCTATGTCAATGCGAGCCTGATCGCTCTTGTCTGTGCGTTTGAGAAAGCGGGGATTGCTCCTCCTCCACTAGCATTCCTGCTCCTTTTGCTGCGCAAGGCGGTGGATCGGTCAGGAACCTTCAATCTGGTCCAGAGCCTAAAATTCCGTCAGCTGACACCTCGCTGGGTTTTCAATGACAGACAAAAGGATGCAGCCGAATACCTGCATGCCATTCTTCAGGCTCAACCTCTCCTTGACGTCACCTGGGATACTCGGTGCATGGCTCCCGAAGGCGTACGACTCAGAGAAGATCATCGCCTACCCATACGCATGCACGTAAGCACTGACTCTACCTTGCAGCAGGTCATTCAATCCTGGCATGGAGTTGAAGATGTTCAGGCGCTTATATCAGCGTCGGAGGTGGTGTGTGTCCAGCTTGGGCGTTACACGGAGGCGGGCAAAAGCTTCGCTCACGTCAGCTTCTCCGATCAGGTCGAGCTCCCAGTATTCACAGCCGGATTGCAGGTCTCCTGGTACCCCTACAGGGTGCAAGCAACTGTCATTCATCTAGGCGCACACATGCAGTCTGGACATTACAGAGCACTGCTACGGGCCGGAGCCTTATGGCACTACACTGACGATGATGCTCCTTCAGAACCAACTTTGCTGCAACCAGAGCACCTTGCCAATGCATATGTGCTCTGGCTTCAGCTTTGCTAGTCGTCATCCATAGCCGCCTCATCCACGCCATGTCCGAACTCATCATACAGATGGAGGAAGAAGGATTTTTCGACCAGTTCTTTCCGTACGGTTCGGGAGGAGCCCAAGATGGAAAGTCGACAGCCCCGACATCCACTGCTGAGGAGGAGGAGCCACGCAAATGGCAGCGGAAGGGTGAAACGGGTCGGTTCGCCGGACCAGGCAAAGGGTCTCGTGGGCAGTGGGCGCGAGATAACAACTACTGGAAACGCGGACGGGAACCCGCGGGCTGGCATACGAATGAGGCGGCCGCAAACAAGGACCGTGACGAGATGGAGCTAGAGATCAAAGAACTTCGGGATCATATCTTTCAACTTCAGCGCCTTGCTCTGAGGCAGGAGGACTTGATAGCGGCGATCAGACCAGAAATGATCTTCGTCATCTTTGCTCGCATAGACGTGGGGGCTTCGATTGTTCCGTCCATCTACAAAGCGCAGGCTGCCTGGCGTGAGCTGAAGGAGTCTGATCCGAGCGCAATCCACGCGCCAATGCGGGTAGATCTCCTGCGATGCCTTTTCACGGAGCTGAAGACGAGGCTCAAGAATCTGACTCAGGATGCGCAGCAACAGCAAAATCTTGTGCAGATGGGATGGCTCAAGGCGGACCCGGTCAGCTGGCACTACATTCGCTGGGACCAGCAAACACAGAAGCACAAGATCGATGACACCAAGGAGCCACTCAAGTATGAAAAGGTTGCGGAGATTGTGGAAGGGGTCCTTTACCTGGTCCAGAAGATCGGGGTAGTCTCTAGGTTCCACCCCAGTCGGCCAGTGGAGGAGGAAATGCGGGGTAAAAGCATTGCTTTCACGCTGCAGTTGGCCATGATGTCGGATAAGGCGCGCACCCTGCGCCAGTACCTGACTGATCTGTCCGGACTCGCGGCCATGCAGCTCCTGGCCACGACGATGCGGCCAGAGAAACCGGGCAGATCGGCACTGGCCAACTTGATCCAGCGTGCAATGCAGCTCCAGCACAACCGATACTGAGCTGAAGGTGATCCGGACAGAAGGGCGCAATCATTCCTGTCGCTACAGGCGTTTGGCAGGGGGGGAGATTGTGCTAGGATCGCCTGGACCTTGGACTTGACGACTGGTCCACAAGTCTGATCTTTTTGGATGACTCAACAAGGAAGCCATCTTTTCCGCATGCGTGATGCTTTGATGGTGTCTCGCAATATCGGCAGTCCTAGCTCTCTGCCACAAAAGTGCCCGGGTGCAGTCAGCGTGACGAAACAGAAGCCTCCATGACTTTCTGATGGTTGTTGCGCGCGGGCACTCTTGCGCTGCATTTCCTGATATGCATTACTCAGGACGTGGGACTGGTCATCCACAAGCCAGTCGGGTTTGTGTACTACCTGCAATGCGCCCGACAGTTTCTTCGCCTGCTCTTGCCAATGATGTATGCTAAAATACACATGTGCTTTGCGTGTTGCTGCTCAAGTCCGGATTCTGGATGCGGGAAAGAGATGAGTGCGAAGAGGAAGGGTTGCTCATAGGGGCTTTCGGCCCGGACCTTTCACATGTCGGCATCTTCTCAAGGACTATGGCAGCTAAATGAATCCAGAGGGGTGATTCATTTGGAGTCTGACGCTGAGCAGTCTGAGGCGGCAGCAGACCAAGAGGACATCATGTCCATCTCCTCAGCTGACTCTGATGCTACGCTGTCGTATACTCCGCCATCCAGAACTCCATACATGCAGCCACCCAGGGAGCGCAGTCAGGTACATCATCGCAGCCACAGCGTGCTGGCAGCATGTGCGCTTCAATATGACTCCAGTTGCCTCACCACCCTATCGTCGCTAAGCCTACACTTTGAGGACGAACATAAGGGCTTGGCCATCAAGGATTTCAGCCGTTCAGACTGGGTTCACACGCCGGTTGCAACAGAAGCTGATTCTCTGGCTAAGCTTTTTCTTACCTCACTGTGGGTTCCGTTCGATGGGATGCTGCGCTTGACAACATTGTTGAATATGGAGCCTGCCAAGAGGGTGCTTTCTACAGTAGTGTCAGGTCCCTCGCCGTCGAAATCGATTTGCTTTGGAGCCTTCATTTTCGGAAGCCAGGCTGGTCTTCATAACAACACCAAGGCCTACATATGGGTGGCAAGACTTTTATGCAGCATCGTTCGATCCTTGTGTGCGGACGAGCTCTTCTCGAGTGTGTTCTTGAGTCTCAACATCCCAAGCGCTCCACATAAGGACTCCAACAATCACCATTGCATCAACAACATACTGATACCTTTATCCGTATGGGAAGGCGGCGAACTTTGGGTATCCAGTCCAAGGGGTTCTACATTGCTGGAACCAGGCGGCGAGCCTGGCCATGTACATGCCATCGAACCCCCTTGTCTACAGTTCGATGCCAAACGTATGCATGCGGTGCTACCGTGGAGTGGAGATCGCTTCCTGATGGGCGCGTTCCACATTCGGGACGATTGGCGACTCAGCACCGAGGACGCCGAATTTCTCGAAAGTCAGGGCTTTAGACTTAGTAGTCGCGTCAAAGCCACCAAGGATCCATATATGCAGCAGTAAGGTGTGGAAAAGCGTGCTTTCCTCGCTCTAAGAGGCTCTCCGTGCTCAGCTGCCAATGACCGCTTCAGCGCACACAGGTACCACAGCTGAGACGATTCCGCCGCCAACAGATTGAGATCGCAGATTTTTGAATGTGGGGCATCGGCATCGGACTTCTTAGAAGTTCTTCGAATGCCTTATACAGGCCTGAGTGTACTGCTCCTGGGGGCTATCGGCCCGGGTATGCTCACCACATGAGTTTACAGTTAACGAACTTATGCTCAAAGCATTCTAGATGGCCGATGCTGTCCAAGTAGATGGCCGGCTTCAGTTCAGCCCAAGGTGGCTACGCAAGGACGAGAGGACTTCGTTCGCGCTGGAGAGAGAGAGTAGTAGTAGTAGTAGTAGTAGTAGTAGTAGTAGTAGTAGTAGTAGTAGTAGTAGTAGTAGGCGCCGGGAGGACGGGCTAGGTATCTGAAACTCACAGCCCGAAGGGATCACGGGACCAAGTTGGTGCCTACCACCACACTAGCACACCGTTTCTACGGTCCTACTACTACACTACTACTACTACTACTACTACTACTACTACTACTACTACTACTACTACTACTACGACTACTTCTACTACTACTACAACGACTACTGCTACTGCTACTAGTACTACTACTACCACTACTAGCATTTCTAGGACTACTACTACTACTACTACTACTACTACTACTACTACTACTACTACTACTGCTTCTGCTACTGCTTCTGCTACTGCTACTGCTACCACTGTTACCACTGCCAATTCTACTGCGATGTTGTTTGGGTGATGTCGTTCCGGGTTCCGGACTACAATTGCTGCTACTACTACTACTACTACTACTACTACCACTACCTAAAGCCCAGACCTCGGCGTAGGAGGGTTTGGTTTTGAAGTAGTGTGTAGTGTGGAGATACTGTTCGGGGTGTTCGCGAAACATTGTCGTCATCATCCCCGAACAAGCTTCGCCTGCCCAAGTTCGAGTTTTCGCAGAAAGCTCTGCGAAATCCAAAGGTCGAGTTCGCAAAGTCCAGAAGTAGGTTTGGTGTCTCTCTCTCTATACATATATATATATATACACAATATACATATGAATATACATATATATATATATACACACAAAAGATGGTCCGGCAACGCGGCAGTACTGCAAATATCGAGTACAGCCCAGCTGCTTTTTTCAAGATTTTGGTCGGGGTGTTTGCGTAACAATGTCGTCATCATCGCCCCCCCCCCCCCCCCCCCCCCCCCCCCCCCCCCCCCCCCCCCCCCCTCCACCCCCCAACCCGATCCGACATGTGCCTGAACGCGCCCGTCATTATCGTCGTCCTTAGCATCCTCATCATGACCATTTTCCCCAAACATGCAAAAAAAATGGGTGGTGCCCCTTGCCACTAACTACTAATACTACTACTACTACTACTACTACTACTACTACTACTACTGCTACTACTACTACTACTACTACTACTACTACTACTACTACTACTACTACTACTCCTTCTCCTCCTGCTACTGCTGCTGCTGCTGCTGCTGCTGCTGTGATGTCTTTCCGGCTTCTTGTTGATATCTGGGCTGTGCTGTCGTCGTTATGGCTGTTGTGATAGGCCAGTAGCTGTAGCTCTGATAAAGAAGGGATGGTGATGATGATGATGATGAGGATGAGCAAGGTTGAGCAAGGTGGCAGTGACATGTATGTTGCTGGTTATGACAACCATTTGGACGATCACAACGATGATGTCGATGGTGTCGTTGCGATTGTTGTCGTTGTGGTGGTGGTGGGAATGGCTGTTCTGGCTAGCGGCTATTTCGCCGTTGGTAGTCAGATGGTGGTGGTTTTAGCATAGTACAGCCATACAGGGACTATAATGAATGCTGAGTTCAATCATGAAGCGTCTTTGTGTACAAAACCCAAGCCCATATTAAGTAGTTCTTCGGTAAGTCCAGAAAAGGCAGACCTGCAAAATTGAACAAACCTAGAGAAGTGCCCGGGGCCCTCAACCTTCATCCCAACTTCACAAGGTTGGAATTCGACGGAAAGCCGACTTCAATGAGGGACTGATGAGGTCTCGAAACTTCTCCATCTCGAGGTTGGTTAAGACTGACCCATGAGGATCCCAGGGTTGAAGAGTGTACTACATTATAACAGAGGATAGAATGTGTAATGTTACCATATTATGTGTAATGTTTTGTTCTATTGCAATATGTCGTGTTATCTGATGGGTTGAAGACTGACTTCTTGAGGGGTTGCGGGGATTAAGGTTGAGGGCTTCCACGGTTTAAGGGTTGAAGGTTTAGGGTTACGGTTGAGGGTCATAGGGCTTACCTCAGGGTTTGAAACGAGACTGACCGTTCCACTGCCATCCTCATGCAGTCATCCTTCGCTGGTTTTGTTTGTTTTGTGGGTTTCGTCCAGGAGTCATATAAGGCTTTCTTCACGAATGTGGGCATCCGCTTTAAGAGCCCTACCTTGAGGCAGATAGGGAAATCCAGTTCCACCCTCGGCCATCAACTGTCAAGTATTCCAAACCAAAACCGGCGTTCTGGTTCTCTGCTCTTGCAAGGCGTATGAGGCCTTTGCCAGCAGTAACGCTAGATGGGGTCCCTCGAGCTGCAGAGACTAACATGTTATACAGCTTTCCGGAGAGGCAGAGACATTACGTGCAGGTTCTTACATTGATGTTTCGACTGGGATCCTCTTATTTCCGATTTAACAGAGCGAAGCGGAGAAGAATCTGCTGGAATTGGAGGCTAAGACTTAGACCCTCCATTTGACCCCTATTAGACCCTATTAGTACCCATGATTTGAGACCATATACCCCTTACGTGAGGGTCCATGGAGGGTCCTAAGAATCACTAGTCCTCCTGGCCACTGTCGGCGGAAATGTGTTCTTCACGAAGAAGTAGCATGACTGTGGCCTATGACATGTCGCATGCTGGCTGTGACGGCTGGCGCAGCGATCGGGATGCAACAAAACGCTGAGCTGAGTACCTTTCTCACTCCAGTGTCCAGTTTTGAGCGCTTGGTAAGGATTATCATGGGGTTGGTTTGATATGACATGTGCATACATGTAGTTGTGTATGTAGCAGGACATGGATGTTTTTGCATACTAAGTATGCAAAAAAAGTCTTTTTCCTAGCTGCAGTGGGCAGTGCATCTGTGATAGAAGCAATGAACACACAGCATCTTTGCAGATGTGGGCTGCGAAGACCTCGGTGTTGCTGCGATGGCCTAAGCCCAAAACTGTCAGTCCTAAACCCCGAAACTGTTGCACTGAACCCTAAGCCGAATACTTCCGAACTCAGGGCTGAGATTTCCGATGTACAAGCAGCACAGAATCGATTTGCGACTCAGGTTTGACAACCCTTGAATGAACACCCACTCGTGTAGATCAGCGGGCCTGCGAAAGTTCTGCCCGTAAGTTTCATTGTAGTCCAGTATT